GTTTAATCAGGTTTCAGTCATTGTAGACCGCAAGTATTTTTTTATTAATTTTCTTAAGCTCCTGGTCCGATATTATAGTTATCTAAATTATTAGTTCTCTGTCACAGATTTACGAGTTTTTATAGGTAGAAAGAACTACAACTGATGGTCATAGTAGGTCTTGCTACCCTCGTAGGGGTAGCTACGCCACTGACAGATAGCAGTCCTGAATAAATGGACTACCTAACATAAAAAGACTGATTTAATTCGAATTAGTAGTTTCAGAGATTGATTTCAGTGACACGCGCGCGCGAGAGTCGCTGGTAGTAATAATTTAGATTACCTTAGCAATTTCGAGTGGGGGCTTTGGACCTTCGAAGGTGATCTGCTGTATCATGATATCGCCATCCACCATCAAGTGTGTGATCCTATGGTACGGGAGCCGATGGGGAAAATCACAGAAATGTTTCCCGTTCACCGACACCTGACGGAGATTGGTGAAATTAGTATTGTAATTTTTTTTATTACAGCTAAAGGAATGGATGTTCTTATCAAACCAACAAAACATAATGAAAGTGTGGGAGAGCCATGCTTCGGCACTGCTGGGCTGGCTCGACCAGTGTGATACCACCAACGAGCAGAAAGCCATAGAGAAACAACGCTTTCGCTGTGTTTCGTCGTGTGAGTGAGGTTACCGGAGGCCCCATTAGTCCCCCGTCCCAATCCCTAAATCCTCAACAATCCTCAAATTCTTAATCCCAAAAGGCCGGTAACGCACTTTTAACGCATCTGGTGTTCCAGGTGTCCATAGACGACGCCGGTTGCTTACCAACAGGTGATCCGTCTGCTCGTTTACCTGCTAGTCACATAAAGAAAACAAGGTGATTTCAGACGAATCACCTGATGGTAAGCAACCGGCGTCGCCTATGACGCCTATTTTAAATAATCTTAGAATGAAATAATAAAACAACCAAGTTATTTAGTATGCATGTAAGGAAATAAAGATAGATTCAGTACAGAGACAGTAACCATTGGTTGTCTAGAGCAGACTGAGTTACAAAAGATATGGCTTTGTTAGAAATCATACAATTATAATTAACAATAGCTACTGTATTAAGGACTTCGCACACCTAACAAGCACGGCTCTTGAACGGGTCTAACCCACTAACTTCATTGTCATTTAAATATGAACTTTAAATAGTATATCGTATGACATAATAATATTTCATAACGTCAATATACAAAGCGGTAAGCGTCACGTCCACGCGCCGGCGGCCTTTTCTTATTGTTTTCACACCAAAAACCGCTGTGCCGGAGCCGTACCGGAGCCGTGCTTGTTAACTGTGGTAGTAGTCTACTACATGTCGTGGTGGCCCTGAGGTTTAAGATGCCCGCTTCTCCTGTATGAGGGTGCGGGTTCGAGACCTACCAACGGCAAGTACGAATACATAGTCAATGTGACTTTTCCGAGTTAGATGTACTTTCTAAGATTATTTAGACACCACTGACAAACGGTGAAGGAAAACATCGTGAGGAAACCCGGGCTTATAATTTCTAATTATAAGTTTGTAATCGCCAACCCGCATTGAGCAAGCGTGGTGATTAATGCTCAACTCCTTATCCGTGTAAGAAGAGGCTTTGCTCAGCAGTGGCCACTTATAGGCTGTTGATGATGACTGTCTCTAGACTGAATATATATTTTCTTAAGTGTGGGAGAGCCATGCTTCGGCACGAATGGGACGGCTAGACTCGGAGTGATACTACAGCCTCATAGAAAACCGACGTGAAACAACGCATGCGTTATGTTTCGTCGTGAGAGTGAGGTTACCGGAGGCCCAATTATCCCTCGGATCCTTTCCAAATCCCTGAATCTCCAATAATCGTCAAATCCCTAATCCAAAAAGGCCGATAACGCCTTGTCACGCTTCTAGAGTTCCAGGTGTCCGTGGGCGGCGCAGATTGCTTACCATTAAGTGATACGCCTGCTCTTTTATCGGTTTATCCCATAAAAAAAAATCTGACTACTTCCTACCTGGAAACAATCATGGTGACAATGAAACACAATTTCAAACATCCCTCCTACAGCCAACGGCATCCCTCCACTGGCCTCCCGAGTCCCCCACGACCCGTGAATGTAAGCGTTGCGTATAATACACTGATCTCCGAAGCGAGGATTGAAATGAAAGGCGTTATCATCGCTACCACCACATTTGAAGTTTGTTGAGAATCTGGGGAGAAAATAAGTGGTTAAAGATACTTTTAAAGCCTGTCACGTATCAAGAAAGTGTTCGAAGACGACGACCTTCCACGTCCGACTTGGTTTCAAGCGGTGGTGAGAAGCGAAAGGACTGGGAGGAGCCCGCCACAACTTTTGGTGGAAAGCCTTACGCCTGGACCTTTTTTGGTGCAGCTGTCAAGCACTAAACGATTATTGTTAGTGTATTTTACTTTAATTTTGTGTGTTTATTTCCTCTTATTATTGTTTGCATAGTATTGTATTGTCTGTGTGGTGTTGTACCAAATAAATTATATTTCTATTTTCTTTTAGACTGCCTCGTTGGCCGAGTGGTCGCAAGTGCGATTGCCGGGCAAGGGGTCTCGGGTTCGATTCCCGGGTCGGGCAAAGTATTACTGGGTTTTTACAAAATTCTCAGTAGTAGCACGGAGTCTGGAATTGTGCCCGGTATATGGCAATAGGCTCACCCCCTATTACATGGGACTCATAACATAAATAGTGAAAAGTGGGTGTTACATTGTACAGTGGCATAATGTGCACCTCTGCCTACCTCTTCGGGGATAAAAGGCGTGATGTTATGTTATGTTATGTTCTATTTTCTTTTCTTTCTTCAACCTCCGAAAACCACTGCAACTCCTGTAAGCTAGGATCTACAGTACATACAACCATGCAAACACTGGGACACTGAAGTCCAACGTCCCAGGGACATGAGTAACTGTCTTGGTTCCCGCAACGAAATAAATCAGAAGATATTATAAGAGAAGATAAAAACGATAGACGAAGCGAGGGGAACTGGAATGTCCTCCGTCGAAAGAGTCATGCTAGCTAAGGAAACGTGGTGCGAATTAAGCAACCAACAACGGAAGAGATGAAGAAATAACTTTATCTAGACAAAGTTACATCGTAACAGTGAATGAATCATTCTAAAATACGTTTATCTTATACATATATTCACTTATTGCTAACGTGTTACTTTTGATTCGCACCTGTGGCCTGGGCAATTAATTAATATTGCTGATTAGCAATGGAAGGTCTAGAGAGGGGAAGTGCTGACAAAGCTACCACAAAAATAATGAATAAAATTTATTTTCAAACATAATAAATACTCTAGGAATAAACAGATTTACTTAAAGCTATATAAAGTTCATAATATAAGGTACCTGAACTAGGACATCCTGTGTTTCAGGCGAGTTTAGGTAAAAGTAATAAACACTGTTATATAATCATAAGTAACTACTTAAATGCTAATCAGTTAAGGCAAATTATGACAATATTTAGTTATATTGGTTTGGCGTTGTGTGTAGATAATAACAAAAATTTGCTGATCAGGCATGGAAGTGTCTAGAGCCTAGTGAGGGGAAATGCTGACAAAGCAGATGTTGGTGGATTAGGGTTCCCTAACTAGCGCGTGAGCAAACGATCCTCTTCACGTCTTAGCCGCGGTAGTAGACATTCCGGCCACCCTAAGAATAGGTCTGCGTAATCAAAGCCAAGTGTATGGTCAAAGAGCCATCATAACACCACAGATTAGGCCCAGTAGGGCTAATACTGATTCGGAACAAGAATAGAAAGAAAGAAAGAAAAAACATTAAAAGAAATAGGAGGCAGTGCTTAATCTCGTAAGATTCTGGTACGTCCTCTCACCTTGCCTCGAGTAGCGGGTGAAACCACGCGGCGGTATAGGTGCAAACCAGTATAAATCCAGGTTAAATATAACGCTACCTTCCGTAATAGAGATGATGACAGGGTATGAACATCAAAAATCTAATTAGTCCGGTAATGAAAAAATATTAGCCACATTAAAAATTATTATTTTGTCGTATAAGATAATCAAAGTTTAGGAGTGGGAGCTAGCTACGTTATTTGAGAATATGAATCGTACTCAAAAGTGACGTCGTGCGATATTTCAAATCGATATATCTTCGAAACTATTCGTTAACGTAAGAAAATAAAAAATACGTGTCTAATGTATTTAAATAATCTACCAGACGGACATTAAAATAAAAATTACTCATCCACCCTATTTTATAAAATCTACTTATCGATATGAACTGCAATGAAGATTTGAATTTAAATTTGAACTTACCTGTTTGCTGATGGAGAGATTCCGCCCTTCACTTTAATTATGCGTCCAGGGTACATGCCCCCAGGAATAATGCCCGTGTATGGTACGACCTAAAAACATCGATTAGGTAAATAGTGAATATGCTTCCAAATATAGGTAAGTCCGCCTTTATTACTAAGCGGTTTCATTTAGCTTGCCCCGTGTGTTTGTCTGGGTCTGTAGTAATTGTAATTTCACCCCCTTCCTGACGACAGATCGATCTGATATAATTTGGTACACACTCTTAATCTTGATGACCATACAATATAATCTAATTGTTTCCACAACTACCTCCATTATGGATATCAAACGAAAGGGTTTGATTGGTAGAATAGAGGTCTTTGAAACCGCTTGCAACTTAAAGTCATCGGTTATCAAAAAAAAAAGGACAACGTTGGCCGAATTTTTAAGTGTGGGAGAGCCATGCTTCGGCACGAATGGGCCGGCTCCACCGGAGTGATACCACGGCCGAGCAGAAAACCGACGTGAAACAACGCTTGCGTTGTGTTACGTCGTGTGAGTGAGGTTACCGGAGGCCCAGCTCCCTCCCCCGTTCCCCAATCTCCTCAATCCCTTTTTTGTGCTTCAATCGTTTCAAAGTGACATTATGTCCACCTTTTTTACAAATTCAAAGCATTTATTTCAATTGAACCATAATTTGGCACTTTTGAAACGTCAACAAATACAAAATAAATAATAGTCCGTCAATCAGTCCGTCAGTGAAGCTAGGTGAAGCTAGGTGCTCATTCCAAAATGTAGATTCGAATGGAGAAGAACGAGCGAGAAACTCCATTCGTTACTCTTTTTAAAAAAGTATGTTCTGCAATGTCTCTGATACATATTTCAATACTGTACGCATATGTTATTGGTATGAATACTCACCGGTGTGTCAACTGTGGTCATCTTCTCTTCGAAGTAGTTTCTTCGTCACAAATCAAATTATTAACGATTTATTTCGAACCCGGTTCGACTGACATAATACAAAACGTATCTGCAACACCGCTAACTAAGCACATCCATTTTTATATCTGTTTGTTATCAATGCAAGCCATGACTATGATGCATGCGCAATATGTTTTTAATTAACTAGATTGCAGTTTTCCTCTGTTGCTTCCTGTGTTCCTAGCTTCCTGGATGGTATTCAGGTACCTAGGTACTTATAGGTCCAACACAAATTGTTTCTTTTACAAAACCATTACACACTCTTTTTTAAGCATGTTTGCTCCCGCTTGGGTGAGGCGGGAGGGAGTTTCAGACTCTTACTGACTAAAAACCATCCCGTTCCTTCTCATGCACGTCGAGCCGGAGCCCCGGTTACCCGTTAGGTTCTCCGCGACCGGACCATTACACACTAAAGGCTATATTTCACTGGGACTGGACGCGCAACCAGTAGCCGCTACCAACCAAACCATTGACTTGGTTACGTAACCAAGAGACACCAGGTTGGTAACTCTCTATAAAGCTGTATACATTTCGTTGGTAGCGGGGACTGGTAGCGCCGCCATGGTGAAATATTGGGCTGGCCTAATTCTCCCCCCCACACTTCCCCAATCTCCTCAATCCTGAATTTTAATACCCAAAAGGCCGTTAACGCACTACAAACGTTCCAGGTGTCCATGGACGATGCCGATTGCTTACCATCAGGTGATGCGTCTGCTCGTTTCCCGGATAACCCATAAAAAATATAGCCTTAAGAATAAGCGTGGAAAGCATGGTTCTTTCACGGTTCAAAGGTAGACACCTGGTTTGTATTTTTAAAGACTCCTTCTTCTTCCTCTCTCTGAATCCTTGGACTCAAGGCCCGAGTGAATAGGTTACTTCCGGGTCGACGTGCTCCATCTTAGATCGCGTCATCGCTTACCACCAAGCGAAATGGTGGAGAAACATCATTCTATTAAGAATACGAAAAATCAGCGCGATTTTGTAAAAAATACATTACAGTACTGGAGGTATTTTTTGGATATTTTTTACCATCTCTGAGCAAAGCCTCTTCTCACACGGAGAAGCTTTGAGCATTAACCACCACGCTTGTTCAATGCGGGTTGGCAATTTCAAACTTATAATTAGAAATTATAGGCCCAGGTTTCCTCACGATGTTTTCCTTCACCGTTTGTCAGTGGTGTCTGGATAATCTTTGAAAGTACATATAACTCGAAAAAAGTCACATTGGTACTTGCCGTTGGTAGGTTTCGAACCCGCACCCTCATGCATGAGAAGCCTCTTACACCTCCGTGCCACTGCGACAGGATTATGTCATGACTTATAATATGTTGTTTACATAGAATTTATCTATTTAGGAGGAAAACATATGGATAGTAACATATAATTAATTAATAGGAACTTGGAACTTGATAGGATTAATTAATGTTACTTTGTTTTTTATTTATGTGGGAGAGCCATACTTCGGCACGAATGGACCGGCTCGACCGGAGTGATACCACGGCCGAGCAGAAAACCGACGTGAAGCAACGCTTGCGTTGTGTTTCGTCGTGTGAGTGAGGTTACCGGAGGCCCAATTACCCTCAACCTTCCCCAATCTCCCCAATCCATGAATCCCCACCGATCCTCAAACTCCTAATCCCTAAAAGGCCGGTAACGCACTTGTAACGCCTCTGGTGTTCCAGGTGTCCATGGGCGACGCCGGTTGCTTACCATCAGGTGATCCGTCTGCTCGTTGACCGGCTTATCCCATAAAAAAACATAGAGGTCTTTTTGTGTGTATGACTTTTAAAAGATTTATTGCTATCATGGCACTATCCAAAATAGTAGTCTATGATTTAAACTATTGTCTACGTCTCGAAAGTTCAGGTACCTACTCTTTAAATTTGTTTGTTTTGAAAGATGAGGAAGTTCTTATTCCAAGGATCCCGATGATCCCAACGGATATGCCCTTTAAATTTAAACGAATTCAATTCCTGATTCGTCTTGCCTTCGCCATGACGTTTAATAAATAACAGGGCCAAACATTGACTATTTGTGGCCTCAATTTAGAAAATGCATGTTTTTCTCACGGTCAAGTAATAGGGTAGATGACTAATTTTTATTTTAATGTCCGTCTGGTAGATTATTTTGAATCATTAGACACGTATTTTTAATTTTTTTACGGAAACGATTAGTTTCGAAGATATATTGATTTGAAATGTCGCGTGACGTCACTTCTATGTAGATACATTTTATACGCCGGAATGACGTTTTAGCCCTCACTCTTAAACTTTGATTCGTTCTAAGTATAATTTTGACGAACTAATTACATTTTTTATTTTCATACCCTGTCATCATCCCTATTGTACGTGGCCAGTTCACGTGTCGGTAAACCATCCACTTTATTTGTTTTAGTGCCTGACAAAAATAAAAGAATGTCGTTTACCACAAGATACATCACATGCTACACAATATAATTTAATATAAACTGTCAAACACCGCGAGGACACCGGTGACCGCAACCTATTGTTCAGAACCTAACGGGTCGCGGAGAACCTAACGGGTAACCGGGGCTCCGGCTCGACGTGCAGGAGAAGGAACGGGGTGGTTTTTAGTCAGTAAGAGTCTGACACTCCCTCCCCCCTCACTCAGGCGGGAGCAGTCATTCGATGATTTTACCCCCTTAAAAAAAAATTGTTCTTTAATTGTGTCTATAATGACGGTACTCAAAGTAAAAAAATCTGACACGTGTTTGAAGTCCTTAATTTTTATTTCTTTTCTCTCTCTGTATGTACTGTTTATAATCTATACTAATATTATAAAGCTGAAGAGTTTGTTTTTTTTGTTTGTTTGTTTGAACGCGCTCTTTGAAACTACTTGTCCGATTTGAAAAATTATTTCTGTGTTGGATAGCACATTTATCGAGGAAGGCTATAGGTTATAAAATATCACGCTACGATTAATATGCGCCGAGCAGAGCGGGTGAAACCGCGCGGAACTAGCTAGTATAAAATACTTTTATATATCTCAAAGTCAAAAGTCAAAGTCAAAGTCAAAATCATTTATTTCAATTAGGCCAGAATGGCACTTTTGAACGTCAACAAAAAAAATTAAAAGTGAAGCTATTTGCTCATTCCAAGGTGTAGATTCCTATGGAGAAGAACGAGCAAGAAACTCTATAGGTTACTCTTTTTCAATTAGGTTCACAATACAATTATCAATTATCTAGTTACATGGTTTTGCTGTTTGGATTGTGCGAGAACAATGTAACACCAAAATCCAGTCAAAGTGATCAAAAAACGAAATATCCTTAAGGACAATAATACAGTCTGGAGCTGACCAGTCCCAGTTGACGGCGCCCGTTCACGAACATGACACGTACCCCAGCACCGCCCAACTCAACCATATTGTATCGAGAATTTTGGAATAAATATTGGAATCGAGCGATCCACTGTACGCGCCACCGCCAATGAGACCTTTGAGTGAGCATGACAACTCCAAGCTGACACAAATGAAATCTACTCATCTAATTTAATATACCTAAAGTTTACAGGGCTCTCACATTTACAATGGTTATCTAAGTTAAACAATATACGATTTAGCAATATGGCTGTATTATTTACGATTTCATTAAAACAACAGTGTTTTTAGTTATCCTGTGGAGCCGGACTAGCCTGCATCCAAGCATTTTTATCCTCTATATACTCATTAAGTTTGTAATATGCTTGTCTACACAAAGTTTTCTTAATACATAATTTAAATTTGGATTCATTTAGTTGTTGTATGTACATCGCCTGGTATCTTATTATAACATTTAACACAGAATCCCATGAACGATTTACTTACTTTCGCTAATCTCGAAATTGGCTGACTTAATCTATTCTTATATCTAGTTTGATAGTGGTGTCTGTCCGACACTTTACCAAATAACTGTAGGTTTTTCCTATCTATTTATCTATGTTTATATTTATATTGTATCACTATCGACCCGCCCCGGCTTCCCACGGGTGCAATATGCATGTATTATACATATAAACCTCCCCTAAAGAATCTCTCTATCTATTATAAAATCGCATCAAAATTCGTTGCGCAGGTTTAAAGATCTAAGCATACATAGGGACAGAACGACGGCGGATAGCGACTTTGTTTTATACTATACTAGCTTCTGCCCGCGACTTCGTACGCGTAATCCTATTTTTTCCCGTCCCCGTTCGTGATTTTCGGTAAAAAGAAAAAAAAAATTTTGGTCAAAAAGTATCCTATGTCCGTCTCCTGGCTCTAAGCTACCTCCCTACCAATTTTCAGCCAAATCTATTCTGCCGTTGTTGAGTTATAAGTGGTGTAACTAACACGACTTTCTTTTATATATATAGACTAGCGGACCCGACAGACGTTGTCCTGCATATCCACTTGAAGGTATACACAAAAATTCATTCAAATTAGTTCAGCAGTTTAGGATAACTAACCTTGACATAACTGCATCGCCATCTGCCGGGCTGATTTGTGAATCTAAACCATTCCCAGATCCCCTTGAACACACACAAAAAATTTCATCAAAATCGGTCCACTCGTTTGAGAGACGTTCAGTGGCATACACACTCACAGAAGAATTATACAGGGTTACAGGTTAAGTCGACCTAGATCCTTTAAGGGGTTTTAGTTTTCATCATTCCTAGCTGATTTGACCATGAAACACCCCACCCCAAACCAACCCATACTGAGATATTGGATTTTGATTATTTTTTAAATAAAATGAAGATTTTTTGTATAATTGACCCTTTTTTCTGATTTTGTGTCACTAATTCATAGTGTTTTTGCTATTTTTGTGTAGCAGATTAGTTTGTTTATTATTCTCAACACAAAAAAAGCAGGTAACTGAACCAACTGGGTAATAGTCGATGATTGAAAGATTAAAAACTAAACAAATTTGTATAAACATTTTTTTTCTTTTAAGAATATTTCAAAAAAAGTCTATGACAGTTATGCTGCAGATGTACTAAATAATATCTACGTTTCTTTAGCTATCCAACAAGGTATAACAAGCTAGGGTATTATCACAGTTCTTAGAAAAAACT